TCCGAGAGAGGAAGGGATTCATAACTGTAATTTTGCTACTGTTATGAATCATAATGTAAATATCTGATATGCAGGATGTATTTTCATTGTTACAAACTGAACATAATTAAAGCATAGTGATTAATCACAAAACAATATGTAATTATATATGTGTTTTCCGATGGTCTTAGGCGACCCCTGTGAAAGGGTCACTCAACCCCCAAAGGGGTCGCGACCCACAAGTTGAGAACCGCTGGACTAGAGGGTCTTTCAGCTCTAAGGTTCTGTGACTCTGTAATCTGTTTGGGACTTAAGTTTCTTTTATTTAAATGTTCCTTTATTAAAATTGTTATCAATGGTTTGTCAGCATGTGGGACCTTGTGCTGGGTGCTGAGGAGAGAGAAATAGTCTCTGTGTTAAGATGTGTACAGTCTTGTGGAGACAGACAAAATATTACTGTACCATGTGGGTGGTGCTGGGTTGGGCGGATGACAGGTCAAACGGAGAAGGGCCCCTAACTGAGCCTGACAAACCCCAAAGGCTTCCTGGTCACCGTGATCGCTGCTCCGGACTGGGCAGGGAAGGGTTGGGCAGCAGTATTCCAGGAACGGTCACCGGCATGCTACGACATGGCCGGGTCAGGGGGCAGAGAGGGACAGTGGGGCAGGCGGAGCCTCAGGCAGCGAGCAGAGGTGAGCAGAGGCCAATTTTAAATGGTCTCACCAAGAAATTTTTAGCTGAACCCAAAGGTGTTGACCCATTGAAGTATTTTGAGCAAAGTAGAAACATGTCCCAATTGTAACATTGCTTTGAGTGCTGGGTGGTAGGCGGATTGGAGGGGCAAGATAAGCTATAAAACACGGTGTCCAGGAGAGAGTGGTGAGGCCTGAACTAAGGCCGTGGCAGGAGGCGTTCTGAAGGTCTTAAAAATAGCACTGGTACCACTTAGTGACCCGTGTGTTGTGGGCGTTTGTGCTCTCTGGTAGCGAACGTGACGCCTTTTTGAAAGGCCTGATGAAGACCCACTGTCATCTCTGGGGAAGCAAGGGAGGTCTGGGGTCAAGTGCAGAACATGGTGGAGGTGGTCAGGCCCATGCACCTGCCCCTGGACAGAGGTCAGCTGAGGAACCCAAGGTTTCCTAGGGCGAGTGGTCTGGAGGGGAGAGCGAGGTGAGGGTGTGCAGGAGGAGACCTGCCGTCTAATTCTGTTTGAGTCAGAGAGTGTCAACTCTGGGCCTCACTCTCCTCATCTTACAAGAGGGAAACACTTCCTACTTTTCCCAAGCACCTTCAAATGCAGCAAACACTAGAAAAGGATTTATAGATGAAAATGACGGTTGTTCAGTGTTGTGAGCAGTTGGTTTTGTCCCTGGTCTTCAGATCAGGTAATGGGGGTCCCAGGCCCTGGCAGGCTCCTAGGTCCTGGACTTGGGGTGGAGGAACATGGGTCCTGCTCTCTCTTTTAAAAGGACACTGGGGTGGGCATGCCATGGGTGTGGGGCGGGTGTGGGGCAGGTGTGGGGGCATGGAGGTGGGGGTGGGACAGTCACAGCAAAGATGTGTATATAAGGCAGGTAGAGGAAGAAGTCCTGCAAGGAGGTGCCATCAGAATGGGCCTGGGGTCAAATCAGGGACCTCCAGGAAGTGGAGAGGCATGGGGAACTGGCTGCCCAGGCTGTCCGTGGACTTGGTTCCCAAGGAAGGCTGGCGGGTGTAAACTGGTCACGAAAATGGGTTCTTCCTACTGGGGACACCCCATGATACAGTTCTTACAAGGCGGGGAGTGTGTGGCGGGAGATGTGGCCACTGCAGTGACCTAAAAAGAAGTCATCTCATACCTTGTGAACATTTTTCAGTCTTTTCAGCTGTCCCTTCCATTTGATATAACAATTCTATACATTAGGGACAAGCATCATTTGCATTTGCAGATGGGGAAACTGTGGCCCAGAGAAGAACAGCAGTTGGCCTTGGGTCACATGGCTAATCAGAAGCAAACCCCAGTCCGGCTGGTATGGCTCAGTTGGTTGTTGTCACATGCACCAGGAGGTCTCCAGTTCGTTTCCTGGTCAGGGCACATGCCCAGGTCGCAAGCTTGATCCCCAGTAGGGGACGTGCGGAGGCAGCCGATCGAAGTTTCTCTCTCACCAATGTTTCTATCCCCCCCTCCCTTCCTCTCTCTGAAATCAATAAAAACATGTATTTTTTAAAGAAGCAAACCCCATCCCAAGCTCTCAGCCCCTCCTCACCCCTCCACTGAGGAATCAGCCAGCAGAGAGTGGGCCAGCCAGACTAGGCAGAGGGTAGGAGGCTGGTTAGAGTGCGCGAGGCACGGAGGGCCAGGTGGGGTTAAACCAGCTGAGGGCCGGGAGAGATGTGATTAAGAGAAAGTAGGGAAGCATGGAGCAAGGGGCAGAGGGAGGCCAGCCTGATGTGGTGGGGTGCCTGGGGAAGGTTGTCCCCTGTCTGTCCCTTGACGGCAGTTTCCTGTGGGGGCAGGATTGTTGGTGTAAGTGAGCATGGCAGACAGTGAGGACATGGGTGCAGCCCTGGGTCACGGTTCATGACTGAGCAGGGCCTAGGCCAGTGGTTCTCAACCTTGGCTGCACATTAGAATCACCGGGGAATCCGGAGAATGGGGCCCAGAAATCAGGATTTTAAAAAGATTCCCAGGTGATTCTAATGTGCAGCCAAGGTTGAGAACCACTGGCCTAGGAGCTGGGCCACCCCTCAAAGCCTCAGCTCCTGGTGCAGGGCATGTGGCCAGTCCCTGCTCTGCTCGTGACAAAGGACACATGAGGCGCGATCCACTTTTCCCCATCAGGGGCCTGAGTCCATGAAGACAGATGGGCGTGGCCGGTGGGAAAGTCCCAGGGGCCTGAGCGTGGGCGGATGTGGGAGACCTGGACATGCCCCTGCACTGTGGCCCTTCTCCTCCCCCAGCTGCTGTCCGCCCCTTCCCGCCCCCAAGTTTCTGTTGAGACCAAAGCTCCTTTGTTACCTTCCCCTGCCCCAGACCTCACCACCTGCCACAGGCCACAATCCCCGCTTTGTGTGTCTGGCAGTTGTCATGGCAGCTGCCCCAGCTGAGGGGACTCACATCCCAGCTGCAGTCCGACCCCACGACCCCACGTAGGGAGGGTTGGGCCAGAAAGGAGGGGCTGGGAAGGGGATGGTGCTCAGGACCCTGCCCTGAGACCTGCTCTCCACAGAACTTGTTGGGCTGCCCGGGAAAGGTCATTGGAGTGTGGGGCCAGGGCCAAGCGGCCTTTATAGACTCAGTGGGCACTGGTGGGGGTGGCGGACTGGCCCCATGGCCTCCTGTTTTCTGGCTGGGGCGTTTTGCTAGGCGGCCTGCTGGATGGGTTCCTGGGCATCTCTCAGGTCAACCGATGGGTCAGGTGGCGTGAGACTGTTGGGTGGCAGAATAAGAGAGAAGGATGGAAAAGGCACAGCTTGGGGTGGGGCAGGGTGGACCTGGTGACTTGGCCGCCCTGGGAGGAAGTGGCCACGGGGAGGGACTTTCCTGGGCTTGGCTAGCTCGGGGTTTGTCTGCAGGACACCCGCTCGCCTGTTTTCCAGATGTCCCACCTGAGCACACAGGTGGAGCTGGGCCCCCAAGACACGGCCTGCCTACCCCCATTCTTATCCTCCGTGCTCCTCCTACTCCTGCCCTCTCATTCTTATTTCTTCCCCTGGGGCCCATGAGGGTCCACTTTCTTTTGTGTCTACTTCTGTCTTACTCTGACCACAAGCCCTAGTGAGCCCAGGGGTTCCCAGGGATGAGGTAATTAATTCACTGTGAATTGTTCACTAAGAATTGAATTCTTTCTGGCACCCGAGGCGATTTTTAAAAAATACATATTTTTATTGATTTCAGAAAGGAAGGGAGAGGGAGAGAGAGAGAAACATCAATGATGAGAGAGAATCATTGATTGGCAGCCTCCTGCACGCCCTCTACTCGAACCGATCCACAACTCAGGCATGTGCCCTTGACTGGAATCGAACCCGAGACCCTTCAGTCCCCAGGCTGACGCTCTATCCACTGAGGCGATTTTTAGGTCTTAATACCTCTTGGAAGACAGAATCAGTCAGGCAGGACTGATTTGATTAGGCTAAGGGGCCTCTTGTGTCGTGTTAGGGTTTTGTGAATAAGGCCAAGCCCCATCCTCTGTCCTCACACTGAAGTTGGCTCTGCCCCCTGTCTGAGTTTCCCCAACTTCCGGTGGCCTCCCTATTCGCCAGTCCCCTGAGCCTCTTCATGTGGACATTGGTGAGGCTTCCCCGGCCGTGGGACACAGGGTGTATCAGGGCCCCCACGGTGGGTTGCAGGGGCTGGGGAACCTGCAGCCAAAGTACATGCTCTTGACCGGGAAATCGAACCCTGGACTCTTCTATGGGCGGAATGACGCTCTAACCCACTGGTTCTCAACCTTCCTAATGCCGTGACCCTTTAATACAGTTCCTCATGTTGTGTTGACCCAAAACCATAACATTATTTTCGTTGCTACTTCATAACTGTAATTTTGCT